TGGAGCTGTCATTCAAAAAACCTGTAGCAGATGCCGGAATCACAACATGAGAGGACATAACTTGACACCCCCCATTTGAAGTGAACATTATTCTCAATAATGTGTCATGTATTCAATACACAGTATATCAAAATTGGGTTTTATTGTTTACTCATTCCGTCTTATTTTTGTGCTCTCAATAAGCAACGGTGTCATGAATTAGAATTTAAATTTTCTTTATTACACTTTACTTCATATTGACCATGTTCTTTCTCTCTCCTCTGTCTTACTATCTTCCCTCCCTTATACTGCATAATGCCTCAAATTTGATTTCCCAAAGATGTTTTGACATATGTGGAGGCTTGAGCATAGCCAAACTTTTTAAAGGTCTCGTAGCTGTTACCTTTGTGCTACAGAACACACAAAGGTATTTTTAATATTATTAATATTAAACTATTAATAATATTAATATTATTAATAACAGTTTCTCCCCAATGGTGCATGAATCAGCCACAATTAAAATGACATTCAGGCTAAAACAAAAATGAAAAATTACATAACAGTGACTGTAAAATCAATTTGCATTGTGATACATTTATAAATGTAACCATAAAAGTAACACTAATGCAAGTATAGCATCCTACATCTACAGTATAATCTACAGTATAATCTGACATTCTGGTAAGATTTGATTCCACATTTTTCTTTGTATGTTTAAAAAGAACCCTGTCTAAACTCTAGAGATAAATAAGTTAACCTTAAACAGTATAAATTAATTATAAATTTTATTTTAAAAAAAATAAAGCTTGGATTCTTGAGATGAATAAAGAATATTATTTTATCAACTGTGTCTACAGTAACAATTATGGACTAAAATCAGAATTAATTGAAGAACTAATCCAAAGCATTGCAGAGTTCTAACATGTGTTTTTGTGTGTATGAGTAGAGAGTAGTGATAGAGGCTGCTTGGGATATTCTTTCTGGTTTGCCCTCTATTTTGTAGATTTTTGGCTTGTACTGAGTATTGTGGTATTTTTGGTTCTACCTTTATTTACTGATCCTCAGGACTCCTCAGTCAAAACCACCCATAAAAGTTTGTAGTCTCTATAGAGCACTAAATAGCTCTTATCAGCAAAGTGAAGGTGCAAAATAATCATTTCAGCCAAATTATCCTGGCACTTTTTCTAATACCAAGCTTCATTTTTGCCTTAACCAACTGTTGCCTGAGATGGATGTTTCACCTGCCTAATGTCCATGCTGGCCAAGCACTGAATGTGACACTCCACACCTTTGTGGAATAAGTGGTCATAACTGTTGAGTCATTATAAAACTACCCGTTTATCTAGATATAATTTGTATATTGTTTTACAATTGAATTTTAATTATAAGAAATGTTTAAGTCTACTGAAGTAAAGACTTGCAGTAGAAGAAATACTGGAAAGTATATACACATGTATATGTCACCTGTACTTGTTTTTTGTCACTATGTCTCTGTGTTTCAGGTGATTTTTCTTCTCTGTGTGTGTCTATGTATTTGTGTTGGTATGTGTTTGTGTATGTTTCTCATATTATAGACAGTTGGAGATTGTGTTCTGTAAGATGCAGCATATAGATGCTTCTATTATTTATTTATTGCCTTACATCTTATATTATCAACAAAATTATCCAGGGTAGATCCAGACTAAAAATATGGAATTCTGTTCCTGAGGGCCTCCCATTCATGTAAGGAGAGAGGTATTTTTTGCATATGGCTCCTTTTTCTTTTCATCTCCTCATGTTCCTGATAAGCTATCCTAAATGATAGGCTTGCACAGGGTTGCAGGGGAAAGTGCATTTATTAAGATCTTATTCTCTTACTGCATTCAGAGAATTTGGTAAATCAGAGGTGTTTTTTTCCCACACAAAAGAAATAAGCACTGGCTTGGATAGGATCAAAATAATGCCCTTCCCTCCCTTCCCCTCTCCTCCCCACTCCCCTGCCCCACTTCTCTTTTCCTCTGAATTAATCACAGCACCCTGTATTTCTTCTCTAATGATTTATAGTATCTTTTTGGCAAACATTGTTGAAATGATGTAAAGCCTGTCATCATTACTGCTATTCTAGCACAACAATGGCTGAGTGATACTCAATAAGCTATAAATCACTAGAAGGGAAATAGCCTCTGTCTTGGATGCTTAATTCTTTCAATTTCATCATTTCTTCAATTCTGTTCACTTCAGCTAAAAAGAGAAAGATTTAAAGCTAAGGCTTAAAAAAAAAACCACCTCCCTATAGATAAGTGAAATGTTCGATTCAATGGAAAGAAAAAATGTTTTTGGGTCTAAGAAGATGAAATGCATGAAGATCTTGAAGTAACATTGCAACTTCATTGAAATGGTGTTTTAGTTAAGTTTTGAGTTTGTGCTTCTTTTTAAAAAATATTTTACAGAAAGAGATTTAAACAAGAAGACAAAATTTTTGAATAACCATGGCAGAAAATCAGCATCAGCATTTTGTTCCTATCTACTTTTTGTTTGTTTTAAAACATGCAGTAATGCTCAGTCATAGATATCCTCAGCAATAGTTAGATGATAAAAATACATAATGCATTTTGCTCCTACATTCTGTTTAAAAAATCATTTATGCTGCAGAATAAGTTTCTGGATAAAAATATGATTGATTTGCAACCTAATCACCTATATATTTACTTGGAATAAAAGTCTATGTAACTGATTAATTTAATATAAAACTGAAATATAAAGTGTGAAAGTTATGCAATCTGACCTTTACATGTTCTGTAAATCTGCATTTTATTAAATAGGTCCTGATGGAATATGCTTTAGTTATAAAGTTTCTTGTTTGGGAATCATGAGCTGTGTATATTAAGCAATTTCTATGTTATATCATAATTTAATGCAGGATGAGCATATGTGGCCTTCCGCATGTTGCTTTGCTCCTGAATATTCTCCTTCAGATAATATGAAAAGGTCAACCCCAAGTAGCATGCAGGGTTTTGAGAAAAAGAATATATATGAACCGTAAATTCTGTGTTGATTAAAGTCTACACTGAAAAATCTACTCTAAAGCCTATTGTGTCAGATGTATGGCAAAAGTGATGATTGATATTATACTGCCATGTCAATTGTTTTCAATTTTAAGAGCCCTCTGGTATGAAAAATTACATAGCAAAGATGTTAGGAAAAGACTTCAATTTAAATGGTTGGGGTTTTTATTCAGGAAAAAGAAATGGAAAAGCAAAAACTCCTGTACCAGCAAGCAAGACTCCATGATCGAGGGGCTGCTGAAATGGTCCTGCAGACAATTAGTGCCAGCAAAGGTAAGTTAACCTTGTTTATGTTCTCCTAAGGACTTTTCTGCTGAGTTAACATTTCCCAGTGGAGAATTTCACTGCAGTGTACTGTACATAAAAAGGTTATGGAAAGATAGATGTTGTGTATCCTACTCAGGCTGCCGAAATTTTTACTCAGCTGCTGCTCATAAGCATTAAATGAACACATTGCTGGAATTATTGAAATTAATGCTAGCACTAGTTTTGACCTAATGATTCAGTCCGGTGCTCCTTATCCACAAGCATGTGTTGTTGGACAGACTGAGCAGAAAATACTAAGTTGAAAAATATTTGTTTTAAAATTGGTGTCTAATGGATGAATACAGAGGATACTGAAAGAAAGTAAAATTTAGAAAAACAAGCTATTTGTAATATGCGTACACATATAAATATACCTACATACACTCAAATGGACATATTTTAAGTCAACATTGTAATTGTTTTCTAAGAGAGAGCGTAGGCATATGTATATATACTATATATACTGTATATGTGTGTGTGCGTGTGTGTGTGTGTGTGTATGTATAAATACATGTATAAATAAAATAATATTTGCTTTGCAGGTGAAATGGGACCAATGGTTGCAGCCACCCTCAAACTTGGGATTGCTATCTTGAATGGTGGAAATTCAACTGTTCAGCAGGTAACTTTTCTGACATTTAAAGTGAATTACTTCTTTCCATTGACTTTGGATTTTTGGATCTACATAATGCATATTTTGCTAGTGATTGAAATTGATTAATTCAGTAGTGGCTGATCTCTTTCTAAGAATCAGAATATTAGCTTTTAAAAAGATTTCTTGTTTTCCTTTTATGCTAAAATAGTCAGTGATCAGGGAAAATGATCTTTTCAGTTGTGATGCTGTAACTCTGGAATACTCTCTCCAGAAAATTCTATCTGGCACCATTTTTGTCAGATACCTTTTTGCATTCATCTTGAAGCCTACACTTCTCTTTTAAAAGCCTTAAGGCTTTAGTTGCAGTTTTTTAATGTATGTTGTTTTGCTGAGATTATACTGTATTTTTAAAATTGAATTGAATGCTTCTATTGTTATTACAGTGCTAGTTATTGTATTGAGGATTGTTAAATGACCTAAGAACATTACTGCTATTGCTGCTGCTACCTCTAAAAGTGCTACACTTGCCAACTTGTTGAGGTTGTTGATCACAAGGCAACCAAAGTTTGCCCATGGAAACAAACATGTAAGGGCAGAAGACTTTCAATCTGATTGGACCAATTTGCATCAAACTTAAAAATATCAAAATTAATGCCAGGAATGGGGAAAAGGCAATGCACGGGCAAAAGTAGTGAAGAAGGTAGCAAGAAGCAATTGTGGCATTAGTAAAACTGAGGTAGAAGCAGAAAGGATGTAGAGAGAGACCTAGAGCCTCTTACATGCCTCCTTAAGAACTGGCAATATTACTGTCTACAACTATCTGGATTAAATTTTGAGTATGTTTTGTCAAAAAGCAAAAAAGAAACCTTTTAAAATAAAACAAAACCATATTTTATTTTAGAAAATGCTTGACTATCTCAAGGACAAAAAAGACGTAGGCTTCTTTCAGAGCCTTGCTGGTCTTATGCAGTCTTGCAGGTAGGAGAAAAAAAAATACATTTTCAAACCCTATATTATATATCATCATGAACTACCCGGAGCAAGTAAGGAATGGGGTAGCATAAAAAGTTTTGTAATGAATAATTGAATGAATGAATAAGCAAAAAAAATGAATAAATATTTCAATACACACTTTGATTTTCCTGGGTATGTTGTCTTATGCTGAGTAGGTTTGAATGCCTAGGGAAATCCTTCTATTAGTTTGAAAAGTAAAGCAAAAGAAAAGTGAACAAGCTACAGTACAAAGAGTTGAACAAAAAGTAATATGCCCAATGACTTTTAGAATCACAGGATATCAATAGGGGTCAGTGATTTTTTAAAATACAGGCTTGTCTTATTTTCTAAGATGTTGTTATGTCTCACCTTTCTTTTTTCCAAAAAAGATGAAAGAGTCCAAACTCACACAAACACAGGCAGGCAAGCTGACTCGGTCTTTACAGGGTTAATCTTTTATACTGATAATGTCCTTGGCATTCTAACACACTCTGCCTGCCAAGTCCGTAATGATAACAAGAAAAACTACTCACTAAAGATTCCAAAGCAGACCACAAAAAACGGTCACAACGAAACCTGGAAGAGAAGTAAAACTTTGTCCCGTACAAAGTTTCTGGAGAAAACACACCCACTTTTATCCCCTGTGGGGTGCGTCTCAATGACTCAGCTCACTCTCTGACCCTCCCACGCCTCCTACGTTGCAGCTCACATTTCTTCCTACGACGCTGCCTAGGATCAAGCCAACATTTGTCCACTTGACTCCCTGTCAGGGACTGCTCCGATACGCCCTCCTCCTCCTGATTAATCTCAGGCTGTTCCTCTCGGTTGTCTGATGAAACCTGAGGCATTATCAGGGAGGAAGGCATTGCCAGAGAGGAAGGTCCTGGGGAGGAAGGCATTCCCTGTTCCTCCTCCTCATCTTCCGAGTCCTCTTCCTCTAACAGCACAGGCTCAGGAGCCACAACAGATGTAATATTCTGGTGGATGGAATTAGTGTCGGAATATAGATGCCAAAATATTGGCTGTGGGGAAATCCCTGCAATGCAAAGTGTAGATTAAAAGATATTTTTTTCTTTTCAGCTTCTCAGAAACACTCTTCTTTTATGTATATTTAATAATATATTATTCATTACTTTAATGTCCTGCAGCACACTCATTTCTTTAATGTTTTTATGATAAACAGTCCAAAGGTTGAGATGGGGAGGTAGAGATTTCACATTTAGATTTTCATTTCATTTAGATTTCTCTAAGTGTATTTATTTGTTTATTTTTTAAAAATAGATAACCTCCAAACTTGAAAAATATGACATACAAAAATAACAGTTAACCAAAAAAATCCCATCAATCAACAGTACATTCAATAATAGATGTAGATTCCCATCGTTAAGTGAAGATATTTTTTATAATTGTGTCTAGCTAGTTTATTGCTATGATGTTGCAGGTAGACTATTATATTTTGCTCCCAGTGGCACATCACATTGGTAGTTATAACTGTACAGTTGAAGCTGCCCTTTTATGTGTTTACTTATAGAGGGTTGATGCAGTGGCTCAGTGGCTAAGACTGGACTTGTTGGCTAGAAAGCTGGCAGCCCAGGTTTGAGACCTGAGCACCACGTGGTGGGGTGAGCTACCGTCTCTGCCCAGCACCTGCCAACCCAGCAGTTCGAAAGCATGCAAATGCCAGTAGGTAAATAGATACCATTGCAGTGGGAAGGTAATAGTGCTCAGTGATTTCATGCTGGCCACATGACTGCAGAACTATCTTTGGACAGTGCTGGCTCTATGACCTTGAAATTGAGATGAGCACCCCCTATAGTTGGCAATGATTAGCGAAGTAAAATTTGCAGGGACTCCTTTTATAGACGGTGGAGTACCAGCATTACTTCTTTTTACACACTCCGACACTTGTATTATTTATACTAAGAAAAGTCTGGGCAATTTGCTTATTGAAGCCTGCAAAAGGACCCATGTGTGCTCTGAAGGTAGGAAATGTTGTTTACTTTAAACATGACCTATGAAGATTTGAATCTTAAATATTTTCTTAAAGGTGAAGTTCCTGTCTTCACCTTTAAGAAAAAGAAAGTGATGTTACTCCCCTTTGCTGAGCCAAATAAATGTTTCTGCCATACAGTGAAATGCATTCACATTTTACTTGCATTAACTCAGTTACATAAAGCGTAAATGCACAGAAATGTCTTGCTTACATCTTTCAGCAAAATTGAATGTTTGTGGTTAAAACTACAGTTTATGTTTCATTATAGTGTTCTTGACCTAAATGCTTTCGAACGTCAGAATAAAGCAGAAGGCCTTGGAATGGTAACAGAAGAAGGATCAGGTACAGTTTTCTTTACCAAAAGTTTGTTGCTTGGCCCCTTTAAAGTCACTAAATAAAAATAATTATAGCTTTAGTTTATCTTTATTTGTGACTAGACAACCCATGATCATTATTTCAGAGACATTTCCTTACTAGATTACTCAGTATCCTCTAATATACCTGAGTTCTTTAAAAGTTCTTTAAAATTCAGGGTTTTATTCAGAAACTATCTGCCTTGAAAGTAGCTCATATTGAACTGTATAGCACAGTCAAACATAGGGAGTTGAGCTCAGGAAATATTTTATGACAGTTTTGTATTATGTCAAAAAATGCTTTATGATATTTTTATGTTATAGGTCCCAGATTTGGTCACATTCTGTATGTTGGCTCAATTTAGTTATCTTGGTTGAAAAGGTTTGGCCCTATAATGCAGCATTTTGCCCAATTAAACATTACAGACATGAAAATTTGATATTATATCAATTAGACAACCCATGACCTGTTAGTCATCATTTCAGAGATATTTCCCTATCTAAACAGAAACAGAATGACCAAGGACAAAAAACAGTGGCCAGATTTCCGACTTCCTGCTGGCTTGACAGTGGCTAACCACTCTCCAGTAGCAAATGGTGGGACTGGAAAATCCAGGTTCCAGGATGTAGGCCAGGAGGGCTAGAATGGGACCAGTCTATTGAATCTCTGGGTGACAGCATAACAGCATTGAAGCAAGCACAATATGCCAAATTTCAATCCCATGGCAGGCGTGGGGCCTGGATTCATTGTATTCATTCTGTAAATTAGCCCATTTGAGGTAACTTGATACAAAAATTGTTGCCCTATGATGCATTGTTTCACCCAGTTAAAGGTCACAAACACAACATTCTAGTAGTGTTTAAATTATAATAGATTATAGGCCAATTCTCAGCAGAACATCCAGTCCATAATAAGAAATATCACAGGCAGAAAAAAAACTTAAAAGTTTTCAAAAAAATCAAATTTCATAAGAATCTGTGACAACTTGTTAGCCTTCCACATGACATGAAAGGAATTGGCCACTTCTGCAATGCATCTGCAGGTGCATTGGCCAAAATAAAATGAGTTTTCCCTACATCAGATTAACTTGGATAGTTTAACAACAGAAGGTTATTAAGTCTGAGCACCTTGAAGTGTAAAATGTGTAGCGCAGTAAGCAAATTTCATATCCCCCAACTGGCAGAAAGATAATCTCTCTTGGACTGAAATATCTCTCTTTTACTAGCATAGGTGACACAATATTAAATCTTGCTACTGCGTGGCATATATGAGACAATGATTGTATATAAATTGTCTTCCTCCCAGGTAATCTCGATAGGCACGACAGCCACAACTGATTACACACACTTTGGTGGCTGAAGTTTGAATCCTATTTATTATTTTATTGGATTTGTTAAGCCCACTTCGCTCCAAAAAGACTCTGAATGCCAAACAATAAGTCTAAGTCAATAAAGTATAACCTGCTTATCATTTTGCACTGGTCTGAGATTATTTTAATCAATGGAAAACTTGTGACGTGAATATTCTATTCTGAAATAAAATTACATATCCCAGAAAGAAATTCTCTATGAAATTTTTTTGCTTGAAAGTGATTTAAATGCTGTTTTTAAACTTTGCTTAAAACTGAGAAAACTGGTGGCATTCTAAATGTTGCAGGACAGCAAATCTTGGAATTCTTTAGCCATGCTTCATGGGCTAGTAGACATAGGTTCAGCAACATCTGGAGAACCACCAATTCTTTATTCCTTATTTTTTTTTAAAAAAGGTATCAGAACTTTTGATTTTGAACCAGTTCACCTTTTCTACTTTTGATCAGATTTTCCACTGTTATTATTTTGTTGTATAAATCTGTTGTTTCCATCTAGAATCATTTGTGTATTTTCTCTGTGACTAGTTGTTTGTTTGTTTGTTTATTTATTAAATTTACCCATCTCATATGAAAGCATCTCTGGGCAGCTTATAGCAGTAAAACCTCTGTTCTTTATCTTCATTCCCAATGGAATTTCTTCTATTATATACTTAAGCAAATCCTTTCATGTTTAGTCGTCAAAATAAGAGGAAAAACTAAACTATTTACTATTCTGTTAGGCAAGTTAATATATTTTAGCAATTTCCCTGCAATCATTTCCAACTTCTTTTGATTAGCCTTGGTGTTTACATCAAGTTAAAAGAAGGTAAACCTTTAAAGATTTTTAAAGCATCAAGTTATTGATTTTGCGCATTTTTGTCCTTAATTATAGTCCAGTATTTATTTTAGCATTTTTTAAAAATGATCTTACTGGAAGTTAGCTGATATCAGTAAATTTTGGTATTCCAGTTTGCTTCATTTGGTTGGTTATCAAAAACTTGATAATCAAATAAATGGTTTTCAAGAATGGAATTTTTTTTTTTCGCATATATTTTTCTATAGCTGTTCATAGTAAGGTTTTCTTTGAAGAAGTTCATTTTCTTTTGGAACCTGGGCATATGTTATAAAAGAATACAACATGCATCTCTCTCTTTTTCCTTTCTCTCTCTTTCTCTGTTTAATTAATATTCTGATATCAAAATATTTTTATTTTCTCTTTACATTTTTATGTATTTACCTAAATTGGACTTTTGACTTGATTCATGGAGAATTAAGTTATCAGAAGCAATGCTAAATCAATTATTTTTTTTAACTCTGAAACAAGTTCTCACTTTTTTCTTTTTTTCCCATTTTCTTTTCTTTGTCCTGTCCTGTCTTCCCCTACCTCAGTCATCACTCATGAGCGTGGTAATTATTACACATCAATTGACTTCCTTTTTTTTCTGTTGTAAGCTTCGTGTCAGCACTGTACAGCTCCTGAACACCATGCAGCATGCAGTTTGTTTTTATTTTTAGAATGTCAAAGTAGGATTATTATTACTATTATTATTATTATCATGGTTGTATTCTCCGAAGTTCCATTTGTATGCCAACTTTCCCCACATCTTTGTTTTTTCCTCCCTTTCTCAGGATATGCACAGTATCTGGCACACTAGATGTAAGAGCAGCAAGCTTTTTGATTTTCTTCTTTTTTTTCTGCTTCATTTGGTGGTGTTATTTTCTTAGTGGGCCAAGTATTTGTGATGGTTGGTTGTAAATAAAATGTGTGCATATGACATTAAAATCCACCATGTGCTGTGGTCTTCCTGTAGCATTTCTGTTGTGTATTTAATGTGGCTTTATGGCTGCATTAGTTTGTGCAAACATAGGAAATCAGTGGAGGATCCAGTCTTGACTTTGATGGTGGGGGAGAGGGGATATTTTGTGATAAAAAAGTTATATTTTCACTGTAAACATTAACAGAATTAATGCATGATAGCCAGTTGTAATTGTCTTGATGAAACTCTTTTTCAACATGTCTTGGTGTTTGTGAGAATCTGTTCTGTAAGGGAAACTTCAATATATAACTCAATTATCCCTTGTTCTTATAAAAAATCTCCATTTAGGTAAAACAAGTTTCAGTAGCAAAGCTAAAGCCCTAACCAGAACTGAACACTGTGGAGATGAAGATTAAAATTTTGAAATATAATTGATTTCAGTTAGAGAGTTCATTATAATGCTACATTTGACTGGCTGAAAAAAAAATCCATTAAGTTTAAAGTGTTAAGTTTAAACTTTAAAATTCTTCAGTCAGCTGTCTATAAAATAAATAGCCTATGAAATTAAAAATGCTTAATTTTCAGCGAAAAATCATTCATTTTCAGCTATTTTTCAACTATCATTTATAATATTATAAATCGTGAATAATTGTAAGATACAAAGAATCACACTATTTAAAAAGAGTAACTAGACAGCCAATTTGCTGTATGGTTAAAGCATTGCAGAAGGCACTGAAAGACTGAATTCTGTTCCCACTTTAAATTTGAAGGCAGCTGGATGACATTAGGCCAGTTATTCTCCTTCAGCCCTAAGAAGGTAGCAGTGGCAATCCAGCCAAGAAAACTGCAGGGATTAGTCAGAAAGTTGCTGGGAGTCAACACTGACTTGAATGGGTGTGACTGTGTATGTGCACACACATACACAGACTCACACACAATATTTTCAACTGAGAAGTACAATTTTCAAATACATAATGATTTTTGCATGAATAGTTTTCCTCATTGCTTTAAATGCTTCAATATTGGAAAGAGGATATGGGATGCATATACAGGAATATTATCACGTATTGGGTGATAATTATGGTAGTGCTTCCTAAACAATTCCATTCATTATCAAAAACTGTTATCAGAAATTACTTTTTACCCAATGTAGATAAAATATTTTAAGTGAACTTAAATGTCACTCCTATGATTGGGCAATCAGTTTATGTGTTAAAGAAAAACTACATGTACCCTATTTGGGGTAATTTACCCAGGTTTGGAAAGCACTTTGTAGAAGAGATCCAAGGCAAACGAGTAAGGGATACGAAGTTGAGTTTAGTCCATTGGACTGCTTCCTCCCCTCATACAGGGCCATTAATTTCAACTGTTCCATGGCAATGATTCTTGAAGCGTGACAGAGAGAAAAAAAGACGGAGAGAGGGAGAAGAATATGTTTACTTTTGCTCTGATTATTATTTCTAGTATTAATAGTTGACATTTTTTTGTAAACCACCCTGGTAGGATCTGAAAGGTGGGTGATCAGTAACAATAATAATAATTGCCACCAGGTAAATCATTGGTTAATTGCAGAATGCACAAAACCTTTCTTAAAATGGAAACGATGAACCTTAGACATGCCTTTTTAGAGAGATATTTAAAACAACTAAGCAGTGGAGTAGAATACATTTTACTGGTTTTTGGAAGGGATAATACCTTGTTTGTTTTAAACTGTGGATTATTTTTTTTTCGTTCTAGGTGATAAAATAAGTATTTCAGACAATCTTAAATATAGGCCTTGTAACTGGTTCAAGATTTATTTATTATCGGTTGTACCCTTTTTTATTGTTCACTGTACCAACTATCTCTTTATTCTGATCCTCACTCACTGTGACCAAGCTTCATGTTCTTAATGCTGGACCCCCCACTGGTAAAACATTGACAGTTCTTTACCAGATATGTATCTGATTTGTTTTTGTGACGTATTAAATGTTGCGTTTTTATGTGTAATGTTTTACTTGTTATGGTTATTAATGGAAAAAGGTTCAAAAACAAAGGTCTAAATTGATTTACATTAATTTCTTACATTTTCATTTCTTCCTTACAATTTGAATAATGTTTTCATAGACCATGATACACTTGAAAGTGCATTTTTTCCTCTCCTTTCAGTTTAAAAGTTATCTTTCTGATGTTTTCTTTCTTTGTTTTACATAATCTGAATTATACTGACCTCAAAGATACCAAAGATAAAGTTTTAAATGTTGACTATAAAATAACTTGAGATGACTCATAATTTTAATTAATTATATAATTAATTAATACAAGAAATATTTTGACTCATAAAATAGACTACACATTCAGGTGGAGTTGCTTATTTGTTGTTATTTCAGCCTAAGCTGGAAAGAGCCAGTTTGACTCAATATTGCTTTCTACTATTAGCCTCTCCCATTCCTTGAAAGGATGGCTTAGTCCCAGAGGATCAATGATATCCCAAGGAGATGCCATGTAAGAAATATTCTGTCACCACTCAATTATTGACAGTGGATTCCCACAACATTATGCACTGTTTAGAATATGAATATGACACATTCTGATCTAGCTGCTATTGGAAAAACACTAAAATAAAGACAAATTGAGTGATAAGATATATTTGTTAGTAATTCTTTCACTAATTATATATAATATGAAATGTGCATATGATTAACAGTTTTTAATTATTTATAATTGTAAGTAAGTAGGTGTTTAAAACAAAAGTAAGGAACAACTTGAAAAAAATAATCAGCAGTATAGAAGAAAATGGTTAGGATGGAATGGCTTTTGGTATACGTTCTGTAACCAGAATCTGCGTAACAAAATAAATGGTCAGAAATATTTCCAGGGAATTCATTTTGCCTTAGAAAGGAGAGATAATTAATAAACTGCCATTTAAGCACTTTCAAGAACTGCAACACCTACCACACCCATCTTTTTTTTCTACCGCACATTACTTTTTAAAAATATATTCCCATCTGAAATGGTCCATGACAGAAACAAACATCTGTATGTGTAATAATGCCATTGAATAGTAGCATGGGCACAGGCAATATTTTAACTAAACTGCAATGTGTTAAAAAGTTTTTACTTTACTTACTTTTACTTAAGATTTTTTCTGAATATATAGCTATTACCACTGAACACCACACAATACACAAGAATATGGGTTTTTTTTTTACATAGGCCAACCTGTTTATTTATTTGTTTATTTAGTAAATATATAGGCCGTCTCCGTCTCATTGACATGACTCTGGACAGTTTACAATGAAGAATAAAAATATCTCCTTTTAATGAGACTGTAATTTGGGGTAGAATCAGGGCAACTGGATGGAGCTGAGCATTTACTGGCCAGATACCCTTCCTGATGCCATGCAGAGTTCGCAGCAGATAGTTTTTCTTTGCGCCCTAGAAGAGAAACATCTGCTCCTATCTAGGATTGAACTCTCAACCTTCCAAGTGGGAAGTGAGTGTCTTCACCACTAGGCCACCATGCCACTCAATTAAAGAGAGGTGATTTTTTTAAACGTTATTTTTGTTCTTAATTCTGGTTGCTTTTTGTTTTTATTCTTTAATTAGAGAAGACTAATTAAAGAATAAAAAAACAAAAATAACATAAAAATAGCAGTTGAGAAGACTCACAGATGCTCAGGCAAGCCATGGCATATCTTCACTCATGCTATCAGGGCTCCAAGCTCAATGACAAAGCCTAGCATTGTTGGAGCAAGTCTGATTCCTCGGAGAATGATGTTCTAGAGCAGGGCTGTCAAATTCAAGGCCCGGGGGTTGGATCCGGCCTGCGGGGCTACCTAGAAACAGCCAAGAACTGGGCCAAAGTGCCTCTGCCAACAAAAATGGAGCTCAAGAGGACCGCACACGGCCCTCGTGAGCTCCGTTTTTTCTGGCAGAGGGTTGCAGGAAGCCACCCCATTTGAAAACTGAGCTTATGAGGGCTGCATGTGGCCCCCTCGAGCTCAGTTTTCACTGGCAGAGGGTTGCAGGAAGCCGTCTCAGCCAAAAATGGAGGTTGGGAGCCAGTTTTCTCTAGCAAAGGTGCCTCCCAACATGAGTGATGTCATTCTGGCCATGCCCACCCTGGCCCTCCAAGGTCAAACAACCCTGATGCGACCCTCAATGAATCGAGTTTGACATCCCTGTTCCAGAGGGTGGGTGCCATGGAAAAAAGGGTGGATGCCTCTTCTGCAGATGTAACAGAATGGGTAGACACCATTGAGGAGATACTGTGTGGTCCTTACATAACCCAGCCCCAAGCCATGAAGGCCTTTAACGGTCTTCCCTGCACCTTAAATTGTGCAGAGAAAGATAGTAATAGCTACTGCAGCTCTTGGAGTAGAAGTGCCACATGTAGTGAACAACCAGCACCTGTAACTGCTTGTGCTGCCATATTTTGTACAGCTGAAGTTTCTGAATACTCTTCAAGGGCAGCTTCATGTAGAATTGGTTTCAGTAACCCATTCAGGAGATGACTAAAGCATGAGTGACTATGAGCACTCTATCCTTTTTGAAATAGAGAAACAGGCAATCCTAAAGAATTCAGTATCCAGTTACATTATTTTTCATGAATAGGAACTTAATATTAGAGATATATCACTTTATTTCATTGGCTTCAGTAACTGTATCCTGAATAAGTATTTTAGAACTTAGCAAATTTTCAATAAGGTTAATTTAGTTTGATTACAATAGCTCTTGCTTATTCCAGTATCTATCTGTAGATTACATCCTCATTTAAGTAACCCATTTTACCTGCTTCTAAATATCAAGTTCCCAATATTACATGTTCACAAATTCAAAATTCAAATGAGAGATAATTTCTAAAATGTTGCCAAGCCCACGCTGCTACATTTTTGGGAGATACGGTTTCAAATTTTACTTTTTTTCTCATAATGAATGACAATACCTACTTCCAAACAAGAACACTATGGAACTGATTCTGGGGAAATGTTACAAGATACAATTATGTCTATAATTTTTAAAGCAACAAGTGCTACATGTGATGTTCTAACGTTACTTGGCAACTTTTCATGATACTTATTGGGATTGACTTTTCCACAGGGGAAAAGGTGATGCAGGATGATGAATTTACCTGTGACCTCTTCCGGTTCCTTCAATTGCTTTGTGAAGGTCATAATTCAGGTTTGTTTTCCTCTTCTCGTATTGCATCCAATGCTCTAAAATACCAAAGTAATGAAGGAAGCTTAATTTTGTAAACCAAATAAGTTTGGTAGATATAATTAATATATTGAAAAAGTTAAGTACATACAAGGAAGCATGTTATGATACAGATAATTTTCAGAAAGTTCGAGATTAGGACAAATGTTAACTCCATCTCATTTTATTCTCCAAGGTTTTCAGAATTACTTGAGAACTCAGACTGGTAATAATACAACTGTCAACATTATCATATCAACTGTGGATTATTTATTGAGAGTTCAGGTAAAATATCACTCACTGTAAGGTTTCACTAAAGTTTAAGTTATTTTTGCAATAATCAAAATAAATGTATAGGTATTAATTAGTAGGTTTGAAGCTTTAATTCAGAGAAATTTATTCAGTTTCACATTTTAATTAGTAATACTCAAACTTATGGGAACTGGAGAATAGTTGTACAATACATAAGCATTCACATTTTTCTAAATTTTCTAAGTGAATTTGCCTCTACAAAACATAAATACACATATTAGGATAACTGTACATAAATATGATTTAAATTTTTCGTTACAATTATTCCTTAACAATCCAAATTTGAAATTGGATCAAAAAAGTATAAGTAGAAAAAGAAAGAGAAGCTATTTATCTCCCAGTGTGCACGCATGCACACACACACACACACACAAACACACACTTAACACTATCATTATATTTTGCTAATTTGTAACACTGTTATGTGTCGCGTCGAGCGACCGGTCCGTTGTTTCGATCTTCCGGTTTGCTGCTGAATTCCTTTCAAGAAGCAATTTGGCGGGACCCTCTCAAAGGTGAAGCTTAGTGGGACCCTCACAAGGGTGAGGTTTAGCGGGACTCTCGCAAGAGTGAGTGCCAAGCACAAAGAAAAAGACATGAAACAAAGCAATTTCTTCAGGTGAGGAAGCACATCGCGCCTGGGGCAGATGGAATTGTCCCGGCGGCCCCGATTGCTTTGCGCTGTCCTCTTTTATTGTGCTGAATCAAAGAAGGGGGTGAGAGGGATTGCAGGAAACAATAGAGTTACAAAGTTAATCATTAGAACCAGCTACGTGACACAAGTAGCGAACTTCGTGACTGATACTTCTCCGGTAAACATGTCTTAATACTGAATACACATCTTTTAGCTGACACAGACTTCTGGAGTTAATCTTGTCAGCTTCTTTCCTGTCAGCTCAGTGGAATTTGCCCTGAGAGGTATACGTGCTAAGCAAGATTTGTTCTATGGAAAAATAGCCAAGGCAGAATAGCCACAGTTATGTATATTTTTCCACATTGGAATATTTTTATATCAAAAAGCAAGATTGATAATGCCTACCTACTCTCCTTTATCCTTCTAAAATATACTAGAAATATGGGAACAAGAAAGCAGTAAAAGAAAAAAAAGGTTTAATTGCCCTAGGTACATGAGTGACCCTCTTTGCGAAATTCTTTCCAACAGTCATCCAGTCTCCTCCCATGTTTGTACAAAATTTTCATAACCATTAGTTCCCATCCTCCCTTACCCTTTTTTGCTTTCTATGTTCTCCTACATACACCAGATGAGGAAAGAATGTAACAGCAGGAAATTCAACTGAAAGTTGAAGTTTCAATCAGAGTTTTCATGATTCCTATATGCAAAGATTCATGTGGACCTTATTTGAATTTCTAAGCTGATGGGATCTTTACAGAGGATATTTTTGTAAATCTGTCTCAGGGTTTTGAAGAATTTAGGAACAATTTATTTCTTTAACTAATTTGCCAGATGCATATGTTTTGAATAAACAGTGAGGCCATATGCTTTATCTTTTTCTTCTTCCATTTTTAGGAATCAATTAGTGATTTCTATTGGTATTATTCTGGAAAGGAAGTTATCGATGAACAAGGACAACGTAATTTCTCTAAAGCTATTCAAGTTGCAAAGCAGGTGTTCAATACTCTTACAGAATATATTCAGGTAAATAAATTGTTTTCCATCTCATTTCATGACCCTCTCATGGATCTCTAAAAGAATCTAATAAATAAATTGGGTATAACATGTTTATCAACAAATGAAGAGGAGCAGGCTCTGGTATGCAAGTGGTGACCTCTTAATTTCCACAAAGTGAGCAATATGAAAATAGTCTGTAATTAAAATACACCAAAGAACTTGTATACCACTAAACGGTTTGAAGTAATTTTACCAGGCAGATAACTCATTGAAATTACTTAAGTGTGCTAATTAAGTAACTTAAGTGAGTTACCTAGCTGCTAGAATTTCTTCAAATTATTAAGTAGTATACATCTTCTTTGGTTAAGCTCTCAGATTAGAGAGAGAGAGATCTGTTATCTTATGTCAGTCATTCATACTAACATTCTGTGTGTACCATCCTAGAGTGTCCATTTGCATTACATATTCCTATGGTTTTGTGCATTAGTCCACCAGGAAGCAGACTACAACTGCTTTCGTCCTTATTGGGACTCAACAGGTACACACAGCCATTAAAATTAATACTGAATTTTTAGGCCATTGGGTTTTATACAATTTAATTATATAGAGTTCCATTCCTGGTAGAGGGTTTCAACTTCCAAAGACCTAAAACTAATTATAAAGGCTATATGGACATGATGAATAGCGTAAGGACAAAACCAATTTGTCCCTCTGGTGCTTAAATCTTTAAAAATCAAAGAGGATTATGACTTTTTATTTTATTAATATTTACGCTGTATATTCGTGTGTGTGTGTGTGTGTGTGTGTGCTTTATGACATTCTTTAATGTAGTGCTTATTTCTGACTCTAGATATAAATGGACAAATACATCTGTATGCTTCACATGCAAATGAACCTATCTGTATAATATAATGGTTTTTTCTTTGGTTGGGTAAACGCCAGATTGTTGAGGTAATTGGAAAGGCTGACTTTCACAGAATATCCGTATGGCCTTGATTTGAATTTAGAAATACATACCGTAATAAATGAAAAACAACTTTTGTGTAAATGTTGTATAAGCTGTTATTATTTGGCTCAATTGCTGCTTTGTAATAACAGTTCACTGGCAGAAGATAAATTTACATTAGATTCATATTCACAATAATAATTCATTACATTGATATTCCACCTGATTCCTAGTGACTTTTCTGTTGTATACTCTTTATTCTTTGAGATTATCATGTCTTTTTTCAGGGTCCATGTACAGGTAATCAACAGAGTCTTGCACACAGCAGACTTTGGGATGCTGTGGTTGGTTTTCTTCATGTCTTTGCCCACATGCAGATGAAGCTTTCTCAGGTACAGAATGATTTTTAATGCAATTGGTTACTGCTGTTTAATTAAAGAAAATGTAATGAATGTTCAGTTAATTGCCTCTCAGTAACATTATAACACCAAGAAATAGTACTCATTTGGAGCTGATTGTTAAAACAGATTGGGCAACTGGATTGTATTATGCTGAGGGTAATGAAATTTCATTTATACCAAAGGAGAAGAACAAATAGTTCAGTACTTGTTTCTAGTAGGGACAGTGCTTAAAAAGATAACAGAAATAAAGAATAATACAGATGGAAGGGAGCTTGAAGGTCTTCTAGTCCAGCCCCCTGCACAACCAGGAGACCCTATACCATTCCAGACAAGTGGCTGCCCAGTCTCTTCTTAAAAACCTCTAGTTCTGGAGCACCCACAATTTCTGGAGGCAAGCCACTCCATTGGTTAATTGTTCTCACTGTTAGGAAATTTCTCCTTAATTCTACTGTAGGATGTTAGATGTTAGTGAGAGAAATATGTAGCCTGACGACTACCGGTTTGAGCTTCTTCGGCGACAGACCGAAACCTCGGCTCTGCGAGACTTCGATCCGTGCTCGCTGCTGGAGCGCCCCGAGCCGGCTGGTTTCGGGGCTAAGCCACATCGTAGAGGTGGTGAAGAGGGGGGAGACTGCCTGCAGGGTTGAGGAGAGCCGCATCTCTCCTCCCCAGCTGGCCATTACTCCCTTTCCCGAAGGTTGTAGCGGTGGTCAGAAATGGCCACCACAAAGAAGAACTCCACCGGAAAAGAATGTGCAGGAGGAAGATAAGAAGAGAAAGTTTTGGTTGACCGGGTCAAACAGCAAAAGCAACAAATAAGGTACCCTGGAATTGAAAATATTGAAAAAAAACAATAACATTGTTCCCTAAGAAGATTTTTAAGCTGTGAAGGAGACAGAAAAGGGAAAAGATTTGGTTTTTTTTTTCTCCTTTTCCTATATTGACAGCTAAGAGATTTAAGCAAGAAATTGGAAAAAAATCCACTTTGACATTAATAGGCATTTAATGCTGAAAATAAAAAGTCAAAGGGATAATAAAGATTTCTGGATAATCAAAAGTTTTTAAAAACAGGAAAAGAGAGAAAAAGAATAAAAGGGCAGGATCTGGAAGGGAGGAGACTGCCTGGAATTAAAAAGAATTTACAGCAAAATCTCAACAAGACTTCCAAAAGATACATTCTAACTGAAATATTGCAACAAAAACCCCAGGAAGAGAAAGTGGAAAAAGAAATAAGAAGATATATCTCGGGACTATTTGGATTACTTGACAATTTCTGGATTTTTGGTTATTGTATTTGAATGACTAAAATCAATCGGGTGGTTGTTTAAAACTGTTTAAAATGGGTCCACTTTTAGAAGAACTGAAAATGGAACTTAAAAAGTACAAAGAAGATGCACAAGAAGGGAGAGGTTCTTTTGGCTTCGTATTTCAGTTTTTAGAAATGGAGATTTGGAATTATGAGAAACAACAAGAAATGCCTGCAGAACAAGAAGATTGCGACAAAGAGGCAGCCATCTTTAATGAACAAGTAATCTTAGGTGGGGGGAAAAAGGAAAGGGGGGAAAGAGAATGGAAAGTTTAAGACTGGGAAAAACAACTCCCACCCAAAATAGAGTGAAAAATAAGTATAAAATCAGAAATCAACAGAAGAGGGAAATGCAGAAGAGAGAATTAGAAGTAGAGAGATAAGGGGGTAAAAAGGGGAGGGAGAAGATGAGAGGGAAGAAAGAAAGGAAAAGAAGTTATAAAGGACAGAAACAAAATATAGAGAAACAGGGCCTATGTAGAGATAATGGGTGAAAATTTAATGGAAAAAGGGATTCTGCAAAGGTACATAAGATAGTATTGTTATATTAGAAACAGAAATAATTTTAGAAAATATGAAACAATGTATGATTAAAATGTCTGATAAAATAGCTATCGTAATTCAGTGGAACGCTTGTCAATAAATAAATGTAACAAAATGAATATTTAATGATTTATAAAACATGTGAAGAGAAATAAGGGAAAAATTAATTATGGAGATTATATGTGTCTTTAAGGAAGTATGATATTTAATTGAAAAGAAGTGTTAAAGATGTTAAGATTTTAATGATTATTAAAGATAGAACTGAATTGGAATGGAATGAGGGTTTATAATTGCATATATTTATAATCCTTTTTTTAAAAAGAATATAGTGTGTATTATAAGAATGTACCAAGCAGAATTCGATTGGAAGTTATCTAGTATGTATTATATTGAAGGTCATAACCTTAAGGTATATATTGAAGTTTAAATAAGAGTTGAATGGATGTAATTAAAAGGTATAAAGGTGTCATACTCCAATTAGTAACTACAGGAGAAAATCTGTTTAATGAGAAAAGATAATATGAAATTGAAACAGAACAGACAAAAGTATAGATATAATGATTTGAATTGAGATGGGATAATCAAAATAAAATTGAGAAAATTAAAAGAGGGAACAAACTATATAGAAAATGTAGAATAGTATAAGATATGGAATAGAACACAAAAAGGAGCATGAAATTGAGTTTTGTGTCTGTATAAAGAAGTTCAACCCGGGACCATGCTATTTTCAAAAAAGATGTTTTACTTGTATTTTGTGTGTGAAAACCCAAATAAAACTTTATTAAAAAATAACTGCAGAACTATAAAAATTAGAACCCTTGGAAGGATTCAGAAAGTGGCAAAGATAGGCTTTATTGAGTTAAAGCTGGTAGATTTCTTAATATTTGTCACTTTTTTGAGAAGGATTATTGTTGTCTTGGTGATTATGTAGAGTCTTTCAAAAAAAATAATGTAAATAATTTCACATGAATTATTTCTAAAGGAGTGTTTGAACATCCCTGTTCTTTTCTTATAAGTTATGACAAGGCAGGAATAAGATTTTATCTCCTTGCAGCATAAAAAAGACTTCTGGGAATCTTATATTTATCTTGACAGGATTCTAGTCAAATTGAATTACTGAAAGAGTTAATGGACCTTCAGAAAGATATGGTGGTCATGCTGCTGTCTATGTTGGAAGGTACCTTTCAAATTATAATTTTAAACACATTTTACTAAAGTATTTTTCAAATTGCACCTAGGAGTGTTTCTTCCTAGTGTAAAATATATCTTAAAAATCCACGTTTATTAGGATCACAAAAGGGAAGAAAGAGGTTACACCTTCCTGGCTGCTATAGTGTCAATGAATGAAATGCAAATACATGATTAATATCAGCAAGTTGGCTGAGAGAGTATATGCAGCCTGTCAATTTGTATAAATTACTGTGAAAAAATTCCAACTCTGGTAATCGATTAAAAATGTTAACATTTTCTGATTTCAGTGAGGTACATAAAAATGAAATACATTTACATTCAATGAAACACATTCTAATCTTTCTAGAGATTAATTAAGGGTGGGGAAAGATGTTAAATACTGTGAAACTATTCTTCTCTGGCAGGCAGATATATTTGCAAAATAATAGTATGGCAATCCCTAGTACTGTGTAATCAGATGTATAGTGTGCATACTGTTGTAACCTTAGTACTGTACTCAGAAGGGATTGGGTTATATCTAAGCAGTTGTTCTCCTGGTGATAGGTTATAAAGTAAAGTACTCAGGAATGTGCTGATCACAATTTTGGATCCCCCTAATTTATCATGCTTTTGATTCTCCAGCGGGCTACCAGTTTAAGCCCTTTACTAATGCTGATCTTAAGTGATCAAATTAAGTTTTCCTTCATTTCAGATGGGAAAAGCTTTCTTTAAAAGGCTTTTCTTGGGATAAAGGAATAGTGATACTTGTATTCATAAAAGCTTATCTCTAATTGTAATCTGTGTACCATATACAATGCCTGAAATCTTCAGTCTGCCCCAAGGCGTAATTCTCTTCATCAGCCAAAAAATTGGAACTGGCTAGTTTAGTTGGTGAGTATACACATGGATAAGTGTCCACACAAATCCAAGTGTCCACTTGCCTTTTTTTTTGAACTGTGCTTCCTCAATCTATAAAACTTATAATGAGCATAAACAAGGAATTCCAATTCCTTGGAACAGATGCTGAGTAAGTTGATAGAAGCATGATAAACTTTTCCCTTTCCTATGCATCTTCTTTGTGAGGATATGTTTGTATAAAGATATAACCACAAAGGTTGTACAGAGAGATGGGTCTCTAATTGATTCTCAGCATTTGGGTTCTACTGACCACCAGCTGTGACCACTTCCACTCACCAACAGCTCCTGATAGCCCGTCAACCGTGATATGTGTTGTGTAATTCAGAGCAGGGAAATTGGAGCATAAGTAATTGAAATATAATGCAATTATAAAATACTTTGTCTTTTAAGCTTGAAATAAAAATACAGGCTGTAGTTTTTGGTCAATTCTAAATATTAACTAAATATTATTTATAAATACAGTATTGTTGTCCTCAGATTTGTAGTATAGTTTCAATGTTTATAATATTTCTTTGACAATTTAAAGTAACTCAGTCAGTCAGTAAAATTATTGATGCACTTTCCCACGTTCAGGTAATGTTGTGAATGGAACAATCGGCAAGCAGATGGTTGACATGCTGGTGGAATCGTTCAACAATGTAGAAATGATTCTAAAGTTTTTTGATATATTTCTAAAACTGAAGGATTTAACTTTCTCTGACGCATTCAAAGAATATGATCCGGATGGTAAAGGTATTATTTCCAAGAGAGATTTCCATAAAGCGATGGAGAGCCACAAACATTATACTCAATCAGAAACTGAGTTTCTGCTCTCCTGTGCTGAAACAGATGAGAATGAAACTTTGGACTATGAGGAATTTGTGAAACGGTTTCATGAGCCGGCTAAGGACATTGGCTTCAACGTTGCTGTTTTGCTGACCAACTTGTCAGAGCACATGCCTCATGATACACGACTGCAAACTTTCCTTGAATTGGCAGATAGTGTTCTAAACTACTTCCAGCCCTTTTTAGGACGCATAGAAATAATGGGCAGCGCGAAGCGCATTGAACGAGTTTACTTTGAGATCAGTGAATCAAGTCGGACGCAGTGGGAGAAACCTCAGGTTAAAGAGTCAAAGAGGCAGTTTATTTTTGATGTAGTAAACGAAGGAGGGGAAAAGGAAAAAATGGAACTTTTTGTTAATTTTTGTGAAGATACCATCTTTGAAATGCAGTTGGCTGCTCAGATCTCAGAATCAGATCTGAACGAGCGGTCTATGAATAAAGAAGAAAATGAAAACGAGAAGCTGGAGGAGCAAGACCCCCGAATAGGATTCTTCTCTCTAGTGACCATCACATCAGCATTAATAGCCCTCAGGCATAACATAATGACTCTGATGAAAATGTTAAGCATGAAAAGCATAAAGAAGCAAATGAAGAAGATGAAAAAAATGACCATGAAGGACATGGTCATGGCTCTGTTTTCTTCCTACTGGACCATTTTAATAGGTTTCATGCATTTTTTATCGAGTGTCTTCAGAGGCTTCTTTCAAATCATGTACAGCTTGCTGCTTGGAGGGAGCCTGGTTGAAGGAGCCAAGAAAATCAAAGTAGCCGAACTTCTAGCTAACATGCCTGACCCTACTCAGGATGAAGTCCGTGGTGATGGAGAAGAAGTAGAAAGGAAGCCAGTTGAAGCTGCTTTGCCTGCAGAAGACCTGACTGATCTCAAAGCTCTATCAGAAGATAGTGACCTCCTCTCAGATATTTTTGGCTTAGATTTAAAACGAGAAGGAGGACAATATAAACTAATTCCACATAATCCAAATGCAGGCTTGAGTGACTTGTTGAGCAGTCCTTCTTTACTCCCTTTACCTGATGTGCAAGAAAACGTACAGGTACAAATACTGTTTTTATTTATCTGCCTTGTTTAACTCTCTTTTTTCTTTTTTAAAAGCTTGCAAATAAGAATTTCATGTTTGTCAACCCTATTTAAAAGAACAGTTTTTCTTGTTTTAAGATGGGTTACAATCTTTAGGTAATTTTAAGTAATTTTCCCCCCCAAGATTGTAGGGGTTTAAAAATTAGGTTCAATTTCAAAATGAAAGAATCATTTACAAGTGAAAACGTGTAACCTTGTTTTTATACATCAGACAGAGAATGTATGTGTATTTTTAAAGGATTTGTAGTAACAATACCCTTTTGTTGTTTTATGCCATATAAGTTGAAAATGGACCATTGTTTTCCTTTTTGTTTATTTTTATTTATTCAAGGACCAGAAGATGAATGAAGATGGAAAAGATGAAAGGGAAGATACTAAATTTGAACATGAAAAAGCAGAGTATGTCCCATTCCTTTTGGAATTAATAGTTTCATCAAGATTGTTACCTTATTGGGGGAAAAAACATCCAAGGACCTTCATGAGAATTCATTCTAAATTTTGTATTGCAGTATAAATTAACAATTTGTTTGTATATATTTACTTTATGTTTATTGTACTTGAGGAATCAGGCAGAACACCATGTAGAAGTTTGTAACCTAGAATTACACCACTCTTGTTTTCTAATCTATTTTTAATTTTCAGCACAATATTTTTCCATTTTAATTTTATTATAAAATGGTTATTGTTGTTAGATTTTCTAAGTTCTTTGTATATCGTTCATTTTCCATAGTCTTTGTTCAACTGTTATCATACCCATGCCCTTAAAAAAAAAAACACCTGTGCTTTCCATGGTGCAGTTGATTCTTTCCTCATTGAGATATTAAATTTTGGATAGATTGACATTAAAAATAAAAGATAAAGGAGATACAGAATATTATTCAACATTGGATAGGTTTTACCAGTGGTTAGATATAAGGGGTAGAAGTTAGAAGAAAGATTATTGTTATGTGTATGTAAAGATGAATGTTATCTATGACTATAAGCATGCTGGTATAATTAATATGATTACAAATAAGCTAATACAACTATAATTATTGCTATAATTATGTATAATATTATTGTTACTAGTATATGTTGTTTTTTCGGTAAAATGAAGTGTCTGGACAATATACTGTGTTGAGGTAATTCCCCATTAGGAGAATGAGCGCATACAGGGAGACGTAGTGAGCGTAATGTTGAATAATACACACACAGCACACAGATACACTGTACAGTAAATGTAGGTTTTTACTTCCAATAAATGTTTAAGCACAGTCCAAGATAAGCAGTCCAAAGTCATTCACAGGTAAGAAAGTCAGTGTTCAGTTTAGGGATAATCCAAATATCAAAGTCCAGTATCAAAAAACAGTTCAGTAACAGACTTACATCAACGATCGGTAACAGTCATTAGGAGCAACGGCAACACTCTCCAGAAAACACCAGAACAGAAACTCACTGAGACTAAACAACCCAGGTTTCTGGCTTCATTTTTTGGCCATTTGCGGAACCACACCCAATTACAGTTTTAGCATTCACTTAAAGATATAGTATTAAAATATCTATCCTAGTTTATATATTTCCAACCCAAATAACTGTTAGGTGACTTACATTCCTAACATTCTCCCCTTTGGGTAGGACAATATATACAACCTTACATTCTAAGTCCATAATCCTCGCAGCATGCCTTATGCTTTATAGAGCCTTGGGCCTTTGTAAAATGATCTGCTATATTGTTTTCTGACATACAGTATTCTCACATTTAAATATCTTAAATCTGTGTGTTTCGTTCTTGTTTTAACAGCAATATTTGAAGCCATTTGTATTGCTGATTGGTTGTCTTCGTAAATAACAATAGAATATGTTACATCAATTCCCATGTCAATCAATAATTGCTTATAACAAACTAAATCTGTACATAATAAGGATAAACATGAGAATTCAGCCTCCATTGTTGACAAACTTAGATGTTTCTGTCTAATAGACCTCCATCCAATCAACACCTTTCCCAATAATACTACAGTACCCAATGTAGATTTTCATGTATTTATGTCTGTAGCAAAACTTGCATCAGCATATGCAATTAAATTCAGTTCATCTTTAGGTTCCAAATACACTGGCTCCATAATGCATTGTTTGTTTCAGAGATCTTAACACATGTTTAGCAGCTTGCCAGTGCCTTTCAGTCAGCTCAGCGTTAAATCTCGCTAATTGATTAACACTATATGCTATATCTGGCCTTGACCAATTACAGAGATAAGATAAACTACCAATCAAGGACTGATAAATGTTCTTATCAAAATAGGACTTTGAACATCACTATGGCTAAACTCCTGGGTCATTGGTGTTTAGCCGGCTTACAAAGTTCCATTTTAAAACTTTTTAGTAATTGGTTAATTTTATCTGCCTGTGAGATTTTGTATCCTCCCCTAGTTTTAGCTATCTTTAAACCAAGATATTGTTTGATTTCTCCTAACTGCTTTATCTTAAATTTCTTCTCTAACAGTGATATTATTTCAGGAGCTTCTTGTTCAGTTTTGGTGATTAATGCTATGTCATCAGTAAATAATAGCAACAATGAAATTACACCATTACTTTCTCTTTTAAACAAACATGGATCAGCCATGCCAGCTACAAAACCTATCTTAGTTAATTCTTTAACTATACATTGTTCCACTCATATCCTGATTGCTTCAAGCCATAAAGACTCTTTCAATCTCCAGCAATCAGTTGTATTATCATTTTCTATACCTAAAGGTTTCTTTAAATATATAGTGTGTTGCAACGGCGCATGCAGATATGCCATCTCTACATCCAAATGATTTACAATATATTTCTCCTTAGCTGCCCACACTAATGCTGCCCTTAATGTAGTAGCCTTCAGACTAGGCTCAAACACCTCATCGTAGTCATTTGCTGTCTGATTGAACCCTTGTGCTACTAACCTGGCTTTATGGGTAACAGTCCCATCTATACTAGTCTTAAGTTTATAAATCCATTTATACCCTATGGCATGTTTACCAGGTGGTAACTTAACATTTTAATATACCTCCAGTTTTTTTTAATGATTCCAAGTCTTATCCATTGCTTTCTACCAAGCAGCCTGATCCTTAGCAGGATACAGTTTTAGTTCACCATAGTTGTTTGGAACTGTATTCACTTGGCATACAACACTAGCCTGATATCTATCAGGTGGTCATGTTACTCATCTTGAACATCTTGGTAATACAGGGCTTACTGGTGGACTCACTTGTGCCACCTGCTCCTGTTCTTCTACTTCCTCCTGTGTCTGTTCTCCTACTTCCTCCTGTGCCTGTTCTTCCTCTTTAATGGCTATTTGTGGTTTACTTATTTTATATTTAGGGACTAAATAATAACATCATTGCTGGATTCCTGTTCCAGTTTATTCCACCCAACGTGCTCAAGAAATTTTGCACTAGCACTACAATAAACATGAGCTGTGCCTCGATCCCAAAATCCAAACGATCTATGGTTGGCCTCGTAACCTACAAAAAATAACTTCTTAGCTCTATGTTGCCCCTTCAGTCTTACTTGTGAGGGAATATGCACCCATGCTGGAGCTCCAAATGTGTGTAGATAACTTAAATTTGGTTTTCTGCCATGCCAACGAGTAAATGGTAATTCTCCAGTTGTTGTATTAACTACATTGTTTAACACATGGTTGCTACACATTATGGCCTCACCCCACAGTGTTTCAGGCAAACCTGAATCAGATAACATAGTGAGAGCCATGGCTTGTAATGTTTGCCCTCTTCATTCTACAAACGAGTTATGTTGTGGTCTGTAAGGTGCAGAACGTTTATGTTGGACACCAGCCAATTTCAGCATTGTTTGGAATCTTTTGTTAACAAACTCAGTCCCATTATCAGTAACTAAAGTAATTACTTTACTCCTCACTTTTCTCTCTGCAAACCTTAGCCAATTAAAGAAATGTTGGAATGTTTCTGTTTTGTTTTTCATAAGATAGCAGAAACCGTATCGTGAGTAATTGTCCATAATATTCAAAATATAGCAGACACCTCCCAAACTAGGTTTCTTAGGACCAATTATGTCACCAAACACAACCTCTAAAGGTTCTTTGGTCTTAAACCCATTAAGTCTGTTTGCAGGCATTACAATGTAAATACTTGCTACAGGGTTTCAATTTTACTCCCTCTGACAATTCATCAGTTTGTTTCAACATTTTGAAATTAATGTGCCCCAGACGTCTATGCAGTAAATGTATACATTCATCATGTGGCTTAACATTGTTATAAACTGAGTTAGCCATCTTCAACTGGTCATCATGTATCACATATAAATCATTCTCTAAAGTAGCAGTAACACTTTTACCCCCTCTCTCTATTATACAGTTATCTCCCCTAAAGGTTACTACATAACCAATATTAACTAAAGCCCTTACTGATAACAAATTAAATTTCAGTTTAGGTACATATAACATTGTTAAATGCTCATTTACACAAGAACAATATGCAGTACCTTCACCAGAAGCTTTCATCTTCCATCCATTTGCCAATGATACATGTTGCTTACTCGTGGACATCTTTACAAACCTCTTTCTATCTTTAGTAATGCATTGCGATGCTCCACTATCAACAACCCACAAATCATGGTTTACAGTTGAATTGCTAGACAGCTAAACTAACATTCTTCTTAGCCTTCCAGTGATTACCAGCATTCTGTCTTTTTCCTTTCTTACAGAATCTAGCTATATGTCCCCTAGTCCCACAAGAAAAACATTTCCTAACAGTATTGGCAGTTGAACACAAATCCTCTTCTTGTGGTTGTTCCTTCCTCAATTGGTCCCTATCCAGCCATCTTCTTGCTTCTTCTAACAACCTTCCGGTTATGTCAGTCAATGTCAGTTTATCTCTGGGCAGGACTTCCAGTGAAGATACATAATCATCATAACTTTCATCCAATGAGGAAAGAATGATGTAAACTTGATGCAGCTCTGAAAATACCAGTTCCTTTTCATGTAGCTCTTGAAAAGTTCTTTTCGTGAAGATCAAATGAGCTAACATATCTCCACCTTTCAGAAGACATGCTCTAAACAGTTTATGTGTAAGATGTATGTGTGCACCTACACTGTCACGAACATAAATCCTCTTCAGATTCTCCCAACACCTAGCAGCAGACTCTTCTCCACGAATATGGATTAGGTGCTGGTCACTCAGTGTTAGTCCAATTATACAAAGATCTCGTTCGTTGTTCCATTTAAACTAAGCAAGCTTCTTGGCATCGTCCTCATTATTTGGATCCCAAGCATTTACATCTGGTGGATTCTGAACTACATTCCATAACCCTCCTCTACACAGAAGTAGACTGCACTTCATAGACCAGGAAACATAGTTTGTTCCATCCAACCAGGTTATCAGTGATAGACTTGTTGAAGTGTCTTGTACCATCTTTACCAGGATAGTAACCCACAATTAAACAGTAAACAGTACTGTATATTCACACTAACTCTCAGTTATCTGAGCCTGGTATGGCCTGGGCCCATAACCAGTGTTGAGGTAATTCCCTGTTAGGAGAATGAGCGCATACAGGGAGACGTAGTGAGCGTAATGTTGAATAATACACACACAGCACACAGATACACTGTACAGTAAATGTAGGTTTTTACTTCCAATAAACGTTTAAGCACAGTCCAAGATAAGCAGTCCAAGTCATTCACAGGTAAAGCAGTCAGTGTTCAGTTTAGGGATAATCCAAATATCAAAGTCCAGTATCAAAAAACAGTTCAGTAACAGACTTACATCAACGATCAGTAACAGTCATTAGGAGCAACAGCAACACTCCAGAAAACACCAGAACAGAAACTCACTGAGACAAAACAACCCAGGTTTCTGGCTCCATCTTATGGCCATTTGCGGAACCACACCCAATTACAGTTTTAGCATTCTCTTAAAGATATAGTATTAAAATGTCTATCCTAGTTTATATATTTCCAACCCAAATAACTGTTAGGTGACTTATATTCCTAACATACTGTTTTGAAAAAAATTATATATAAATAAAAAATATAAAACTTGAAATATTAAATTTTAATTGAGAAATGTGACCGTTATTATAGTTTTGAAAAATATGTGTCTGCAGGGGAGAAGATGGAGAAAAAGAAGAGAAAACAAAAGAAGATAAGGGAAAGCAGAAACCAAGGCAGTGTCACAAACATAGGCATGGTGAACTAGAATTGCAAGAATCTGCCTTCTGGAAAAAAATTATTGCATATCAACAGAAAGTCCTTGTAAGGGTTTAAAAATTAAAATAGACAAAAATTCCTTATAATACATCATTTTGTATACATATTTGTTTAAATGGTGACATTTGCAGCTTAATTCATTTTTATGTCTATATTCCAAAGCTAGAGATTATTTATTTTCACAAAAAAAGTCTTTGGGAAGGGAATGTATAACCATTTCTGGGTATTGCAGATTACCAAATATCTATATGAAATATTATTTGTTTCTACTTTCTTATTAGTTTGGCACTGTTTAATATACAGATTGTTCAGATACAATCCTTAAACATACACATAATTTGAATAAGTAATTTTAATTGTCATAAATTATGTGAATAATTAGAAGTGGAAAACTTTTTATGTAATTATTTAGAAAAGCAGCGTGCAAGTTTTGGAGAGAAGATAAATATATTAAGTGTAACTAGCTATTAAGCATATTTATTTGTTATATTTATGTCCTGTCTTTGTAGTATACAATTCATAATGTTATCTCCTATTTTCTTTGTAATAACTTCACTGTGAGGTGGGTTTGGCTGAATAGAGAGATTAGCCCAAAATCACCCAGCCAGCTTTTGTGTCTAAGAGTCCTGATTTCTAATTCAGTACTTTAACTATTACTCTAAACTGATTCAAAATTATTTCTTTTTTCAGAATTATTTTGCTCGGAATTTTTACAATATGAGGATGCTGGCTTTATTTGTTGCATTTGCCATTAATTTCATTCTTTTGTTTTACAAGGTAAATCCTTCATACTTTAAACTTTATCAATTAGATGTGAAATTAACTTATTAAAATTAATTGATTTTTAACTCAAAATCTTTACTCAAATCAGTTATTTTACTCTCTTAGGCTAAGCTGTAGTGTAAAATTCTGACATAACATCCTGAATTTAGGGCTTGCTTATGTAGGCTACTTTTAGTATATGTATTTTCTGCATAAATGTTCATTAAAGGTGATTGAATTTATTCTGTGTCATTTCTCTGTATTCCAAGCTTATAATTCAACAATGTTTTACACCAGTGCAATCTATACCATAATTTTATGAGGCAATGGTAAACATATGTAATGATTGGGGAGGATGCTGATGGAGGCTAAAACACTATTAAAAACACTTAAGCTTTGTAAAGCTGTGAATATTGTTTAAAGATAGAATTTGAAAATACAGGTAGTCCTTGATTTACAGTCACAATTTGAGTCCAAAATTTCTGTTGCTAAACAAGGCAGTTGTTAACTGAGTTTTTCCCCATTTTGTGACCTTTCTTGCCTCAGTTGTTAAGTGAATCACTACAGTTGTAAAGTGAATCTGGCTCCCCATTGACTTTGCTTGTCAGAAGGTCACAAAAGATAATCACATGACCCCAGGTCACTGGAACCACCATAAATACATGCCAGTTGCCAAGCATCTGAATTTTGATCCTATGACCACGGGAAAGCTTCAGCGGTCGTAAGTTTGATATACAGCCATAAACCACTTTATTCAGTACCGTTGTAACTTCAAATGGTCACTAAACAAGTGATTGTAAGTTTAGGATTATCTCTAAAATATGAATAGCATATGACTAAAGAAAATAAGAAATGCCAGCGAGAAAGAAATTGAGGGGATGAGATCTGGTAGAATCTCAGCTCAAGGCTTCCTGCTATTAAATGTCAATAATCTACCTCTGGAATAGTCCTGTTTCCACCCGTTAGCCCTTTTCTTTTGTGTGTAGCTTTTAGAAATATGATATTTCTCTCAAATCGTTCTTCAACAGGTATCTACTTCTTCAGTGACAGAAGAAAAGGAAATACAAGTAGTTAATACTGCTGAGAAAATGAAGCTAAACAGCCTAGAAAGTCCTTCTCATAGAATCATCACAGTACACTATGTCCTTGAAGAAAGCAGTGGCTACATGGAACCTACACTCCGCATTTTAGCAATTTTACACACTGTCATTTCCTTTTTCTGCATCATTGGGTATTACTGTCTGAAAGTAAGAGAATAAGAATGTCACATCTGCTTAATGGACTATTAATTCCCTTGGACTTATTTTTATGTTTGTTTCCCTCTGTCTGATAACTCATAATGTGTATGTGGTGTATTTTATTTTATTGGGTTGTTGTCAGAAGAAGTAGCACTAAAGGTTATAAGTCAACAATATGAATACAAACAAATCAAAACTTCGTATTCTGAATTCTGTAATTCTTTTTCTTGGAAAAAATATAGTAGAGAAATGCACAGTTAATTTTGTGCACTGTTGTACACCTGTTAATGGCAAGAAGAAGCAACGTTACTGCTAATTGTCCCTTCCTGCTGTAGTCCATTATAGCTTCTAAAACATTTTCTGGAAAGGACATTTTAAAGTAGTGAGGAAAATGAAATAGGAGATTGCAGTAGGAAAGAAGAATCGGTTAAAATTCTTCATTTTCCTCACCCTTGCCATTTCTCTTCACTGGATTATATCATCTTTTGGGGGAAAAGTCCTTGTACCTACTATTTTATTGATTGATTGATATATCAAATACGGAAAACACTTATCTCCCTCCCAAAGCAACTAGGTAAAATGCAAATAAAACATAAAAGCTGTATATAAATATTATATTAAGAGGCAATTAAAACAAGAGTAGAGTAATTAAAACTCAAAGTTAGAAAGGCAGAAGAAGGGCTTGCAAGATGCTAAGTAACCCAGTGGCTGATTGTTTCTCTGTGGGCTTCAAGCAATGTCATGAGAGAATCAGGGCCTACCTTACCTCTGAGGGGATGTTCCAAAGGGGCAGGGGCAATGACATTTACTTTAGAGAAGTAAGTTTATCAGTTCTTTGCATTTTTCTCAGCATCCAAGTATTGCTCCAAGTGAATTAAACAACTTTTTGTCCTATTTCCAGGTTCCATTGGTAATATTTAAGCGAGAAAAAGAAGTTGCGAGGAAATTGGAATTTGATGGGCTATATATTACAGAACAGCCTTCAGAGGATGATATTAAGGGACAATGGGACAGACTAGTCATCAATACACAGTGAGTCTTTATCTTTTTGAGGCTCCGTGGTTTATATACTTCACTTTTAATTTTATCAAGAATAAGTAGCGATTGCATACCTCTGGGACACACAGATTGCAAAAGTGGAGGCAATTATAGCTCTCCTAGGTATATTTCAGTATGAAATTCTATTTTGAAAATAACAAGGGCTAAGAAATATACTTATTACATGAATGCATTTAAGTATGCACTTAGTGTAATTGTGGCAGGAAATATTCACACTAGATAGATTTTATGTAGATTAAAAAATGGTAATGAATGGCAATAATAAATTGTCTTTATATTTCATCACTTAAAATATTTTATAAACAACAATCGTTATTTTCTGGATTTCTCACAACTTTCAATTATTTTGTTCAAGTCTTGTCTCAGAAAATTGCAAAATTAGTCCTGTAATGCATTATCTTTAGATTCTGAGAATGCACACATATAATTAACAAATGTATGTTTTATTAGATGCCCTGAAATTTGTATAATCTTAAATATTTATTTATACTTAAAAGATCCTTGCTAAACTTTTTATATCTCCCCGTTGATCTGGATATAATAGAGCTGATTTATGAATAAATACATGTGCAGTTGATATAAATTAAAAATAAATTGTCTACTTTTACACATAGCTTAATGGCTTAATATAATATTTAACATTTACCAGGCAAATGTTTACCAGAACAATTTTGCATCGAAGCAGATAGCAAATTAAGCTTCCTGTAATACTGAATGCTGGGCAATGTGAGATTTCATTATGGCCATCATTACAGAAAATATTTATCCAGAATTATAAAAAAATGAGGACTTCATGTGGTATCAGATTTCAGATTTGAAAGTAATTCATAAGTTTATTAGAAAAAAAATGATGCCTTTGATAGTAATGCAATAAATCAATCAGCCCATATAACTGGAAAATGATTGAGAAAAGAGACAGTTTAGTTGCAATTGTATTTTAAGAAATAAAATATAAAAAAAATATACAGGAAATAACTAGTATCAGTTTAATCATGAACTTTAATTTCAGGGACAAAAAAATGAACTTGCATTGAATTAGTTGTATTTGTTAAATTATTATCTGACTGATCCATTGAGCATTATTTTCCAGAGAGAAATTGTAACTTCCATAAGTCTCTTTATTGGTGAGGAAAACTTGGAACCTTCAAGAAAGATCCCTGTAAATTTGGAGTTCAGAAAAACACTGTTTATTGATGTGAATGATAACTCATATTTAAATACAATTTCTTTCAAATCACAGGTCTTTTCCTAATAACTATTGGGACAAGTTTGTGAAAAGAAAGGTAAAGTCTTTCATTATTGTTGAATTATATGTTTCAGTTTTAAATAAAGAAACAAAAGAAACAAGAGGGCAGGGACGGTAGGCACATTGGTGCACTTATCCCCCCCCCCCAGACCTCTTAGGAAAGGGGTGAGGTCAATAGTAGACAGTCTAAGGTTAAAGTTTTTGGGGTTTGGGGAAGAAACCACAGAGTCAGGTAGAGTATTCCAAACATTGACCACTCTGTTGCTGAAGTTGTATTTCCTGCAATCAAGTTTGGTGCAGTGAACCTTGAGTTTGTATCTATTGTTTGCTCTTGTGTTGTTATGGTTGAAGCTGAAGTATTCATTGACAGGAAGGACATTGCAATGTATGATTTTATATACTATACTTAGATCGGACCAAAGGCGGCATAGTTCTTGGTTTTCTAGGTCTAGAATTTCAAGTCTGGTGGCATAAGGTATTCTGCAATGAGTAGAGGAGAACTCTTGTGAAATATTTCTGGACTTTCTCAACTGTGTTAAGATCAGATACGTAATGTGGGGTCCAGACTGATGAGCTGTATTCAAGTATTATAATAAGAGTTGCAGATTACAGGATAGTCTAGCAAATGTTTTGTATGCTCTCGTTAGTAGTATGATATTACCAGAGAAAAAGTTACGTAAGATTAGGTTAACAACTCTTAACACCTTTTTGGCTATGTAGTTACAGTGGGCTCTAGCACTTAGGTCATTTGAGATGAGTACTCCAAGTTCCTTGACAGAGTTTGGATCATCAACAAGGTCTTGACTATTCAGCCTGTATTTTATTTTCTGATTTTTTTTGCCAATATGTAGGACAGAGCATTTATTTGTTGAGATTTGAAGTTGCCATTTGTTTGACCATTCTGATACATAGTAAAGATCTTTTTGAAGGGTAGCAGTATTGTCTGTGGTGTTGAATAGCTTTACATCGTCAGCGAAGAGAACGCAGTTGCTCTTGATATGATCACAGAGGTCATTTATGTAGAGTATGAAGAGAGTTGGTCCTAGAACACTGCCTTGGGGGACACCTCTGTTGACAGGTACAGAATTTGATTAGGACGCTTCCAATTTTGACCATTTGTTGTCTGTTTGATAGGAATGCTTCTATCCAGTTATGCAGGTGTCCAGAAATACCATAAGATTTTAGTTTTAGGAGTAGTTTGTCGTGTACCACTGAATCAAAAGCTTTACAGAAGTCTATGTAGATTGCGTCTGTTGCTTTGCCCTGATCGAGTTGTGTAGTCCATATGTTTTTGTAGTGTAAGAGTTGCAGATTACAGGATAGTTTTTTCCTAAAAACAAATTGTTTATTAGAGAGTAGGTTGTTTGTTTCTAAGTGGAGGATGATGGATTGGTTAATAATTGTTTCCATGACTTTACAGGTGATGCAGCATAAAGAGATTGGTCTATAATTGTCAACTAGGCTGGGGTCTCCCTTTTTGAAGATGGGGATGACCGTGGCTCGTGACCATAGATGGCACAAAGTCTCATGTCTGCCCTTATTCCCCTCTTGTTCCTCAATATTTATTAAGCTGGAGAAGGGAGGAGGTTCCCTGCTATTTCCAAACATTCTTATATTCTTTTCTTTCTCTCTGTCTCTGCTCCTTTTTCCATCTCTGCCTTCCTTCTTTTTCCTCCTCCTTGCCAGATCCAAAGTTAAGGTATTGCCTCTTCCCAAATTAGTTTCCATTCCTCATTTCTGTCACCCTTCCCATTGCCAGGACTAATTTAGAACCAGCAAATCTAAATCAAAGAGCTTCCTGATTCACATAAGAATTTGCATTTAACTTCTTACTCATTGTAGAAGATCCTGCAATCCAGTTTACAAATTCTCTTCAAACCACTAGGGTATAGAAACTTACAACTTATCAGGTCAAAGATCCTTCTAATTTGATTCTCTCTGCCCCATTATTAAAGTTAGAGGTATCTAAAAATATAGAATTTTATATAAAAATACTGCACCTTAATCACTTGGGTTTAGATAAATAACGTTTCAGAAGGAAATATAATTGTTACTATATTGTTTCAGGTTATGGATAAATATGGAGAGTTTTATGGCAAAGACAGAATCAGTGAATTGCTGGGAATGGACAAGGCTGCTCTAGATTTCAGTGATGCCCGAGAAAAAAAGAAACCAAAAAAGGATAGTTCTTTATCGGCTGTGTAAGTATTTAAAATATTGCTTTAAAGATTACTCAAGCATTTCTTTTTTAAAAAATTTGTTTATTCAAAAATTTCAAAAAAAAATTTAATAAAAGAGAAACATGTTCTCACATTTTGCAGCATTGTCGTCACAGTGTACATATCTATTAGTGTCAATTGAGTTCATTTACTACATATATATCTGTATCTTATTTGCTAAATCCTTACTTATTTGTATTATTATT